AGGGTTGAGGATCCCTCTCCAGCCCCCTCATTCTAGTCCCTCTGATGAGCTCCAGGAGGTTCCTGCAGCAACTAGGGCTTTACTTTCATACGAAATAAGTGAACTGTTTCTCTTCTAGAAAACTGATTTCTTAATGTGCTGCAGCTAGAGCAGTTAATGTGCAGAGTGTAGACCCCTCATCTCCGGCTGAGGTGTGGACTCCAGAACTAGAAGGTGGCAGTAGCATGCAGGATCCCAGCGCAGGCCACCCAGCATCTGATTTTATGGAAGTTTATGCAAGCCTTGGGACAGCAATAATTTCCTGTCCTGGGCACTGTTTTAGAAGAACAGGAAGACTTCTGGAGTTCCAGGGACAATACTGGGAATGTTGGCAGTAGAGGATCCACACCAGAGGAATCACTGGGTGAGTGAGGGTTTGCCCTTCTCTCACCTGGACAAGGGAAGGGCCTCATAATGGCTGTGTCCTTCATTGGGATTGATGGCTCTCAGGTTCCCGAGATCACTAGGGCAGCAGAGCCACCAGGGCAGCCTGGAAGTCTCAGTGTGATAAAGGACTTTCTATCCTGGAAGATTTCTTTTTCAGAAGATGTCAAGAACAGCACTAATCTCTTCTGGTAGGGTTAGTAGAGTCCTTGGGCTCATTTCATTTGTAAGATAACCACAAAACCTTGAAGTATTTGGGATGAGTCTCCTGGGAAATACTGCTAACATTGTAGGTAAGGTGGATGTTACTAGAAAAATATTTGGTTATGCAGATTCCTGAAGGTGCATTAAAATTATTTTCCTGGATATTTGCTGTTTATAGCTCTTGCCAAATGGTAAATTTTTAAAATATGTCTTATTTAAAATGGTATTCTCTTAACCCAACTGAATATCTTTTGGTAATGGGCTTGTGTTACATTTCTTACTGTCTGCAAGTGTAAAAATACCATTTCTATTATTTTCTGGTTGGACTTTTAACAGAGCCTACATAAAATTATATTTCTCAGTTAAATTAAAAACATAGATGGGGCCAGTGCAGTTGAGGAGTGAGGATAACTGCCTTAGTGGGTGCAGTTGGTGCTCATAATGGCTGTGTCCATGACATGCATGACATTAAGGAGAGCCAGCTCCCTTACCCGGGCTACTCTCCGGCTCTCACAGACCTGTCACTGGATCACAACTGACTGGCCATCATGCACTAAGACTTCTATAATTTTCCCAAGATTCGTGAGTTGTGTCTCCCCCAGCCCACAGATGTGAGGCTCATCCTGGAAGCTCCATTGGATGGCATATGCTATCATCTCTGATACCAGAAATGGAACTTCCCCTTGTTGCCTCCCCGAGAAGACAGCCTCCCAACAGACTAACCTCTGCCCTCACCCTGCCCCTCATCTGTCCTCCACCCAGTGCGCTGGCATTTATACAGGCTCCATGCCCTCCTCATGTGTAGGAACACTCATCAGGAGCCATCATGCACAGGGGCTGGTTTATTGCAGCCTTGCCACAGGAGGTGGTGTCCTCTTTTACTGCCTTTCTCACCAAAAAGGATCCAATCTCTTGGGGGCAACAGCCTGGCCAACAGAACCTCAGAAACATTGACCACCACCCAGCACTTGCCTCCCTCTTCCCTTTTTTCCCAGTTCCCACCTCAGTACTCAATCCAAAATGTGCCAAACCAAACCCCTGGCTGTGTTCCTTCACTGGGTCACTACTGTTTAGCTACAGGTGTACTTAGCTATATTTTGATCCAAGTACTAATAATGTCCCTACTGTGTACAAGGTACTGCTAATGTTATGCAGGCCTGTGAGTTTATCTTGTTAAGTGTAGAAAGACTATGACAATATAAGTTTATGGAAATGGTAGCTAGGTTGGTTATTTAGTGTTAATTTTACAAAATCTGAGTTTGGTGGCGTCAGGAGCCAAATAGACAATCAGGAAGGTCATATAACTACACACAAGACTGGAAGTAGGTCATACAAATACAGGCAGAGAAGTAGATTGTTACTGCACACAAGACAGGAAGTAGAACGTACATCCACACACAAGGCATGCAGAGGATCAAGCAGATCATAGGACTACACATAGTGCATTGGATAGCTCCATACAAGACAGAACATCCTGGCTTCTAATGGAGTGGGACAAAGCACTTTGAGGGCTTAGGTAGAAAAGAATGTTAGGTTTTAGAAAACTCGGAGAGGCTTTAGCAGAAGGCAGCATGTTAGGCCGTGGAGGATCGTACAAGATCCTGTTGAGGAGAGGTAGTTGTGTAACACTAACTGGTGAATATTAGGAGGTGGAAATTGAGAATGGAGAGCAGGGAGCATGGCACGTGCAGAGGTGGTGATGGGACATGCGTCTAGTAGAGTAAATGGGGATGTAAGATTTTAACAGCAATGGCAAGGTGTCTAATAATGATACCCAAAAGATCCTCTACTTATAGGTTATCAAATTACGTAAGTCCTTGTGTTAGATGCAAAGCATAAATTACCTAGAATCTTTGTAATAATTTCTGATAGAGCCGGTCTCCTGTTTTATAAATGAAAAACACCACTGAAGCACAAGGAGGCCTATGTGATCCGTCTAAGCTGAAGTAACCAGTGAGAGGCCTGAAGTTCAAAACTGGTGCTGCACCATCTGACTCCTAAAAGTCCAGCATGATCTGCTGTTCTTAGTCATTGGGATTGATGTTAGTCTGTTACTTGAAAATAATTCAATAAAATAGATGATCATAAATAATGGCATATATTAAACATTTAAAATTTAATACAACTAATAAAATTGTTGACTAAGAAGTAAATCATTTTGCATTAGTACTGTTTCTCCGAGAAGATACTTGCTGGTTGGAGTTCTAAGAACTGTGAGATATTTATAAGCTGCCTGAGCACAGGGCCTGTCTAGGTTGGCAGTTCTTAGCTTCCTGGTTAGGGACAGCCATGCAGGTATCCACATTCTGGGGAATTCTTGAGGTGTGAATTGTCGAGTCCCACCTGTTCTCTACTGAATCCAGCTGAGAGCCGAGCCCAGTGGCCTGCGTTGGAACCAGCGTCTACTAATGCTGCCCAGTGCTAAGTTTGAGAACCACTGATTTCCCACACAACCTGAGGCTGCTGCAGTGGTTGAACCAGATTAGGAAGCAGCGAACCAAATCTGATGGCCCTGTGGAGGCAGAGGCTCCAGAGGCAGAGGCTGAGGCAGAGGCTCCAGATGCAGAGGCTCTGAGGCAGAAGCTCCAGAGGCAGAGGCTCCAGAGGCAGAGGCAAAGGCTCTGAGGCAGAGGCTCCGAAGCAGAGGCTCCAGAGGCAGAGGCTCTGAAGCAGAAGCTCCAGAGCCAGAGGCTCCAGAGGCAGAGGCAGAGGCTCTGAGGCAGAGGCTCCAAAGCAGAGGCTCCAGAGGCAGAGGCTCTGAAGCAGAAGCTCCAGAGGCAGAAGCTCCAGAGGCAGAGGCTCTGAGGCAGAGGCTCCAGATGCAGAGGCTCTGAGGGAGAAGCTCCAGAGGCAGAGGCACCAGATACAGAGGCTCCGAGGCAGAAGCTCAGGCTCCGAAGCAGAGGCTCCAGAGGCAGAGGCTCTGAGGCAGAGGCTCCGAAGCAGAGGGTCCAGAGGCAGAGGCTCCAAGGCAGAGGCTCCGAAGCAGAGGGTCCAGAGGCAGAGGCTCCAAGGCAGAGGCTCCGAAGCAGAGGGTCCAGAGGCAGAGGCTCCGAAGCAGAGGCTCCAGGGGCAGAGGCTCTGAGGCAGAGGCTGCAGAGGCAGAAGGCAGGGAAATGCAGAGCTAGCTAACCAAACTCCTTAGCTCTGTGGTTTCTGTGCCAAGTTGTGGGTGGGAAGCAGGTCCAGCAGTAGGCTGCTTGTTTGGGCAGTAGGAAGAGCCCGACATGCCAGTCCCTGAAGGTCAGACTCTGTGCTGGAGCACAGAATGGGACTGGCAACATTTCCCTTTTCTGGCAGCTGCTCAGTGGAAGAACCTTGTCTATTGCCTTCTTCATTCTTACAGATACGAGATGAAGAAAACCCAATGACTGCCAGGTTATACTCAAGAAAACTGCCCCCTGCCAGGGTTGCCCTGCTAGGAGGTACAAAGTCTGCCTCCTTCTGCTGTCTTCTCGCAGAGCAGGGGTAGGGCATGTAGCCCCCCTGGTTGCCTGCCCTGGATGTCTGGTCTGTGGGAAGAGGTCGGAAGTGAAGTCATTGGCTGGGGCAAAGGCTGCGGCTCCTCTTGGAAGGAGGCTGGGTCATCTCCTAAATACCGGGGGCCGAGGTGGCTGTCACAGTGGGCTCCTCCTTTCCCAAGCGACTCTTGGGCCTGCTGCCCTGCACGCGTGTGAGGCTCCTACTCCGGGAGTGTTCTTACACCCCACTAGCTTCACAAGGAGGTGTTCTTAATTAACATTATCATATGGGAGACAATAAAAACAAGTATTTTTAAATCATGTCATTAGTACCAAGTAGCCTTTATTTTCTGTGAATGTATTCCGTAAAATGATTATTCACTTTGTGAAACATTTACTTTCTCTTATTTGTTAAAATATCTGAGTTTACAAACTAATTTTAATATTAGTATCACTTTGAAAAAATATTCAATATATTGAATTTTCTGGGACATTTCTGAAACATAGACAAGAACCATTTAAATAAAAACTTTTGTGGTGATGGAAACGTACCCTTATTCTGTCATAATTACTGTACTCTGGCTTGTTTTCTGCATTAGCCTGAATGATGGGTGTGCAGAAAGGACCTGGAAGATGCCTCACTGGCCCTGGGAGCCTGGGGCTTTCCAGTCCTGTCTCCTCTACTCCGTCTTGAGTTGTCCCCTTTGCCAGTGTCCTGGGACATACAACTAACAAAGCAGAGCAAAAGTGTAGATAAGCTTGACGATTGGGGGTGAGTGGGTGGGAACAGTCTTGGTTTAAGGTTAGAAACCCTAGTGTGTGGTAGACCTTTCTGGTCTAATGTTCTTTTCTGAGGATGGTTAGTAAGGAATTCATAACACTCACTGGACTAATTTCTAATATTTGTTCCAGCTATGAATTTGTGAAATACCTGAGGCAGCACATTTGCAGCACTCTGGGGCCTATGATTGAAGAAGAGATGGAGAAGTGTGCGTCTGAGCAGCGCCCAGGCGAGGAGCCGGGCTACGACACGCTGGTGCAGCATGTCTCCAGGAGGATCCAGGATTCCCGAGAGTGAGTTTGGCAGGCGTGACTCCCTGGTAGGGTCCCACCCTGGCAGAGGCTGCCGGTGCCCCTGGCTCCTGCCTCCTGCCCCGCTCTCCCCGCTTTCCTTTCCCATGGGCCCTTGTCACTGATTTGTACTGCTCACAAATGCGCTCCCTAATTTCCTGCGTACTGTCAGTATTTCGTCACTAGAATCCAAACCTCACAAAGATCATTTTATTTTCATCTTTAAAAATCTTTCACTTATTTTTATATCCTGGGCCTGGAAAATAAATGCCTGGTCCATCTGAGGTGCTGAGAGCTATCTGCTGGTGGCCAGTGCCCTGAGTGTTCTGCAGAGCCATGGTGCAAGTGGTATGGCCTGAGGGCATGGCACTGAGGGCCATGAAGGCAGGGCTGAGGGCATGAAGCCTTCTGGAGGTGGGCTTAGGGCAGGGCGCTCACTCAGGGGCCAGGAGGTCCCAGTGAGGCTGGCCAGTTCTAGCAGGAGAGCTGTGTCAACATTCGGGACTGCCTGGCCCCAACTTGCCACGCTGCATCGCGCTCCCACCCACGGTGATGGCCTCGCCAGCTGAGTGGATGTGGCTGCTGGGCTCCTGAGCCTCCAGAATGGAGGCTGACCGAATTTCTTTACCGAGTGGTCATCCACAGGAGTTTTGCTATAGCAGTTGGAAACAATTCTAGCTTTGGCAAGGGAGAGTTTTCTTTCTTTTTCTTTCTCCTTATCAGTCCTGAGCCAGTTGTGCATTTAGGGGATCACTTCATGTCACATGTTAGTTAGATCCTGGGCTGCACAAATGAATAGAGTCTGCCCTCCGCTAACCCACAGCAAAATGACGAGTTTAATGTGAGGTTGAAGTAGAAACTTAAAGTAGTTTCACTACTGTGTGGCAGACGTCATGAGATGCGAAGTGTACTATTGGACAGCTGTGACACAGAGACACTGGAAGTTCGTGGCTAGGGAATGTGCATCCTCCTGCGTTGAGCCTCAGTTAATGCTCATGTGCAGAATGGGCGAACCTGTGCAAGTTCACCCCAACCCCCGACCCCACACCCATGTTCCTCCTGAGCAGGTCCCTGTGCCATGTCCTGGAGGCTGTATGGACCCATGTGAGCTCGGCTGCAGCTGGACCAGGAAGGAGGGTGCCCTGCAGTCCTTGGTCCTCACGGGCAGGTGGAAGGTGGTGTGGCCCGCGGCGCGGATTTGCCAACCTCAGTATTGGAGACATCAGCGTGCATGCTTGAACTGTGTTACCTACTGTGCTTTAATGCATTAAGTTGGACTTATTTTTAAAATAAGATGTATTACTTGGGACAGCAGTTTTTCCCTTGGTGACAACCGATTATAATTAAACAAATAGTAGTCAGAGTGAGATAGTGTATAGCTATCAGTACCTGAGCAAGTTTAAACCTTGGTTATGTAAAAGCCATAGACATTAGGATTTTTTATTTCTTGATTTTTTTTTTTTTAAGAAAAAAAATGGAGTCCTTTCTTTTTAGATAATGTTAAGATTCCTTGTCATCAGTTTCAGGCAGTCTTATTAAATTTACTCTAGAAGAAGTGCTACACTTCATAAGTTAGATAATGAAAGTATTTTAATTATAAGAGCAGCTTTATATGATACTTCTATGAAATTTCTTTCTTTTTTTGCCATAATTTTATTGAAAAACAAATAGCAATGACACAGTTTCAAATCAAATCGGTAGGACAGTTTCAATAATTAACACACGGCATACATTCTTCTTAGTGGTTAATTGCTATACAAGATGCGGACTTGATAACTTATTTACAAACACCATTAGAACAAATCATTCTATTCATTAAGAGAATGTAACTATATATCTATCCCAACCACTTTGAATACACAGATACAAAATGGACT